ACTGTAGAATCAGAAGTTATGTCCTCATTGCCGTCAACGTTGTCTTCGTCATTATCAAGAAGTGTGCCAGTAACTATTGCATCCACAACTTCAGTTGCTTCAAGTCTGACAGGATTGGATGATCACTCACCACGACATTACCCTCATGCCTCACCGCATGACCACAAGTCACAGGTTAGTGTAGTGAACAAAAATCTTGCATAATATATCCTGCTTATAGAATGTAATGCAGAATTAATACTGGGCTTCATTTAAAGGTGCTTGATAGACCCAAAACCCCACCATCAATTGACAATGACAGTTCATCTCTGTCTGGTGTAAGTCGAAGTCCAACCATRCCACCTTCTAGCCTGCAGTCAACGCAACTAGTGTCCAGTTTGCCCAAAGAGAATGCATTGGATTCACGAGCTTATCAAGTTGGACAGGTGGGTGGTAGTGATTCTCATGGATTTCTCTTTTCATCTCACCAACATGATGACAGTGGCTTCTAATGCTCTCCTCACATTTCAGACATAAATTAGACAGATTTTTAATTATTATTTTAATAGTATAAATGTGTAAATTATGTGAAATGTGAAATAAACATTGATTGATTGATTGATTGATTGACAGTCTCAAGGATTGATGTAAGAGCAGTTATAATGATATTTGGTTTTTCAACAGCAGCACATTCCCAGTCAACCTACTTTACCAAGCAAGGACCAGCTAACATCCAATAGCCTAGGACATCACAGCACTCTTGGTGGCACAGTGATGACAAATACACAAAGAACTGACAGTGGATCCAATCATCCATTACAACCACCACCTGGAGTTGTCGTCCCGCACAGCACGTCCCAGCAGGCATCATCAGCCATGGGCTTGTCAACAGCCACAGTGTCTAGTTCAAGTCGACCAGCACAGCATTCTGGTATGGATTGGAGCAATGTATTTATACTACTTTGGCATTCATTACTTTTTATCCTCTGCTCGCTCCTCCCTTGAATTATTGTTAACAATACTAGTATTTAAGAATGTGTGAAAAATTAGTATTCAACATTCACAACTGAACACTCCTAGAAATAAAACTTTTGTTAGTGTACAAAAATATTTTGTTTGACGGAATTTAGGCTTATCATTCTTGTTGTTTTCACATGACTTCCATTGAAACCCACACCATCATCACCATTCTTGTATTTGTATCCTTTCATCTTAATTTAGTTCAAATCAACAAATTTTGTTTCTTCTTTTCTCAAGGCAAACCATCTCTCCCTCCTGGTGTACTTCCAATCAATACACTGTATGGAATACAACAGCCTGGAATGGTTCCTGGATATTCTATGCCATTCAGTTATGAAGAACTACAAAGACAAATGCACATGCCTCAAGCCTACTATGACCTATCTTTTACTGGACGAGAKAATCTACAGGGGACTTTCCAAACAGACCAGAAATTTGGACGCAGCGATGCTTCATCTCCAGTTCAAACGACAGTCAACCARCCACAGAATCAGCATCATATGCAACAGCAACAGCAGCAAGCATACCTGAATGCTGCTGCAACAATGCCTCCCTATGGATTTGGAGGACTGGCATTCTATCCTGGTGGTGGGATGATGCCTGGTGGATTCCCAACGTATTCTGCTCCTATGTACCAGGTATGTGTCATTTTCATTTTTTTCCAGTCAATTATTCCAYTACCCATTGATCATCTAACCACCAACGCTCTTACTGTATTATATATGTACTGAGTCTATTTATTTTTTAGCAAATGGCTCCTAAAACCCATGTCAATGTGTCTCAATACCAACAGCAGGCTTTCAACAGTCAGCATGGATCACATAACTATTCTTCAGGTAGGTTGAACAGCATTATCCAACTCAAAATTGCAATCAAAATATCACAGCTCTCTTAATTTAAGCAAGTAACCATTTTTGTTATTGCAGGTTATGATGATCTYAGTGGAGGTCATGACTTTAAYAAGTCACCGTATCACTCAGCAGCATCACAGACACAGAGCAAATCATCTGCAGTTGTGAGCACGTCAGCAGACATTGGTGGTGGCTCTTCTTATAAGAGTCAAATTGGAAAGGTAACAATACTTAGTCAAAACAACAAATTTGCACTCTTAGCCAGGACACTTTTCTACAGAAACAATCGCACATAAATTGACAGACATGCTATCTGGCCAAAGTCATGTTCAACTTATCAAAGAATGTTTTGGCTTAAAAACTGTCTGTTAAAAACAAAGATTATCTGCCAAACTGAAAGTTTGTCCTGGCATTTTCTGTCAAATGGCATTGCATTTACTGAAGGTGAAATCATTTAAATTGCAGTATGATACCAAAGCCTTCCTTGGCAGTACCCCTCCACCACTGAACCTCGGCCAACATAGCCACCTTGGGAACTATCCTGGACACACCCCACCCTTCATGTCCATGGTCCCTCCCACACAGCAGCATCACCCACATTCCCTGTTCCATCACCATGCWGTTGCACACCAGCACCAGGATATTGGACAAGCAGGAATGTCACAGAGAGGACAACAAAGTCAGTTGTCTAAACAGCCACARAGCAAAGGATCATATCCYAGTGGGTTCTGGTCTAGTGGAAATAARCCTTGAATTGTGTTAGATAGTGTTGGCCCATGTATAGTATTATCACCAATCCCTCTCAATTTGTTGTGTTTGTGTCTCTCTTGGGTGCAATAAAAGAGATATTTCGTCGATCTAGGATGTAAATGATGTCACACGTGTACAGACAATACAGGAAGCATGTAAATGTTTTGCTATTATAATTTAATATTCTGCAGTCTTTACCAAGTAGGAAAGGAGTTTTACACCATAATCTTTCAATAAATCAACTATAATTGAATACATCAGTGTTGTTTCTCTTTGTAAAGTAACAAAGGACAGACAGACATGGTTTATTGGTGAAGTCAAGAGGGAGAACATGAATATTATATTCACAAGTTTGACCTTTGGACTTTCCATTCCACAAGTGCTCTATTTCACCTGTACTTTAGAGAATCTGCTCTTGATGTTTACAAAACATCCCCACTTAAAGTDTGGCCAAAGATATGCCAGAACTGAGATGATTTGTAATATATATGAACACTATCAGACTTGTTAGTGTAATAGTAAGATTGAAAAAAAGAAAGAAAGAAATGAAGTGAAAAGTCTTCTTCACAGTTCCCTGCACAATCTTGAAAGGTAGCTGTGCCTTTGTAATGAAGCGAAACGACCTTTGAACGTGCAATGATAGAAACCTTTCACGCCTACCAGACAATTATTCACAGGTCTCTGTCATTGACACTCAACAGTCCTCTCGCTTCGATGCAAAGGCACAGCTACCTTTCAAGATGGCACAGGGAACTGTGAAGGAGACTATTGGAATCAATCAGAATATGTATTCTTTCAGTCAAATTAAAAAACAAGAAAGTTATTAAAAGCAAAAAAAAATGTTCATTATCTAAAGTAGTAAAACAAGGACAGGGATCCCAAAAGAGAATAAAAATGTTGATTTTCAATGACCCGATAACGAGATACTGATCCAACTTAAAACTTGTAAAACATATTTGTTTATTTGTATACATTTACATCTTTTTACATCTTAGTATTGTATTCATATCATTATTCTTTGAATTGCCATTCCTGTCTGCACATWGGACATAGTTGTTGATGAAGTTGCGAGTTCAACCATTTGAGAATACAGTGCATGTGAAAGACATGAGAACACTTYCCCCACACTGAAACAGAACAAAATGTACAWGAATTAGTWAGGAAAAATTTGATATAAGATACCGTAATTCATGCTTAGTGTAGCCCMAGAATGTTTTTCACAAATTTACATAATCAGTCCCTTCTGTTT